AGTCTCATATGAACTCCGGGCAGTGCTGACACCCAAATGCATCACGGATTAAGCCATAATGCAGTGTGGAAGGGCCAACCCTCAGGTGTCCAAGTTTAGAGGGAGCTCCAGGTCCCAAGGCAAGGCTCACAAGAGGGGGGCAGAACTTAGGGACTAAGAGAGAGTGCAAGTACAGAAGTAGGATTCTGAAAATGGAAAAGGGACAAGGGAAGCAACTCACATCATTACACATAAGGGTATAGGGGAATAGGAAGTTGCAAGAGGCAACAGAAAAGCGGGTTGAAGGGCATACCAGCAATGGGAGATGCTGGCACACCCTCTGGGTTCAGAGACTCAAAGTCAGTCTGAAAGAGTTAAGGGTTCTAAAATAAAACCCTAATTCAAACAAACCTCGGCAGAACCCCCAAATTCTAGGGTTTCCACCCTGAATCAAATACAGAGATGAGGAGGCAAGTAGTCGAATCGAAACATGTTTAGAGGTTTCAGAAAAGAACTGAAACTTCTAACATGCTTCTTCCAGCAACAGAACTCATGAATAGCATGTAAATACAGTAGAAGGGTTCAAGGCAAACAGAGTAAAGAAACTAATTCGAAATATGATGAGAAAAGATTGATAAGAATAGTAGAAGAAAGCATGCTTAAGAAGATCCTTTTAAAAGAAAATTAAACAAAGTTCAATAGAAGAAAAATAGTAAGAACGCTTAAGAATACAGTAGAAGAATACAGTAGGCGAAACATACCAGAACATAGTAGAAAAGCATACAAGAATATAGTATAGAAAGCACATTAGAAGAACATACAAGAACGGAACATAGAAAGCACAGCAGAACAACATACATGGTAGAAGGAAAACATAGAACATAGTAGAGGCAAATACATACAAAAGAAAAGGAAAAGAAAGTCAGAGAAACACTTAAGCATTTTCAGAAGACCCTAAATCGTAAAAGAAAGACTTTGAAAAGTAATTTTAGAAAGAAAAGTTAGGGAGATCGTTTGAAAACTCAAAGAGAGCAGAAATACACAACGGATCTAAAGAGAACGGAGAAAACCTAGAAGGTTTAAGGTTTCAGAAGAACCCTAGAAATGAGAAAGGCTTTGAAAAGGTCACCGATCTGAGTCGAAGAGGTCAGAACCAGGCTCAAAACACCATGGTACGCCGGAGCAAGGCCGGCGATGACTCTGGAACCTTGAATCGGCAGAGGTATGGGTGCAAACCTTCGAGGCCAGGCCTTGAATCTTCAGAGATCAGGTGTGTAAGAGCAACAGGAGGTAGGTATAAGACTCCCATAGCCCTGGAAGCCATGGATTCCGGTGGCTTTCAGGGTGGAAGCGGTGAGAGGCGGCTAGGGTTATGAGAAGACTCGAGAGAGTTTGAGAGAGTGCAGGGTTTCAGAGGCGGCTGAGGTTGTGAAATGGTTAGGGTTAGGGGGTAGGTCGGGATTAAAAAAGCAAAGGGTATTTGGTGGTTGTTGATCATTTTGATCAACGGCCTGGATTAATTGAGCAGGTGGGGCGGTTTTAACAGGGTTGTGTTTAGGTTGGTTCAAACAGGGATTGGGTCAGGGTAATTGGGTTTAAAGTTAGGTTCAATTGGAGGTTCAAATAAGGCTAAAATTGAAATAAACGGGACTAACATTTAATAACTATTTTTCCCTTATTTATTTTATAAAAAATAGTAAAATAATTTCTGAAAATAAATTAAAGGTATTAAAATGATTAATAATACGTAATTATCAAATTACAAATACTGGAGTCAATTTTATAATTATGAAAATAATTAAATCTTAAAATAGGCTAATACCGCAATTATACACAATTTAGCTTTAAAAATACTAAACAAATTTGTAAAAATATGCAAAAATTATGCCGGCTATATTGTAATATAAATATGAGAATACAATAAGTGAATCACCAAAAATAATAATTTTGGGAATAATTATTGGGGTTTTCTTGATAAAATAGGGCAATAAATAGATTTTAAAATCTATAAAAATTAAGAAAAAAATAGTAAAACCTTGGGACATACTTATATATGCATATATCTGCTATTTTGAAAGTATTTTGCATATAAAAATATACAGAGAAAAATTGGGTATCAACACACTTCTGGGTCCACAAATGTCACGACCCGGTTCTCCCACCGTCGGGATCGTGATGGCGCGTAACTTTTATAGTATTACGCCAACCAACAGATAAAGATCTAATATGCTAACCGTTATCTAAAGCAGTAAATAACAATAATTTAAACCAAAACAAGGTAAGGAAGTGCGAAAAAATTATAACAATCTGAACACTAATACACGACCACCCAAGATCTGGTGTCACAATCCACGAACTTCTAAGAGTCACTACAAATGCAGGTTTAAAGAAAATACATATGTTCTCGAAATAAAAGAAAATAGGGAAATTAGGATAAATGGAAGAGGACTCCAGGATCTGCGAACGCCGCCAGATCTACCTTGGGTCTTCTGTGGATTGAAGGCAGCAACTCAACTTTGATCAATGCGGTCCAGTATCGAAATCTGCACGGAAAGTGCTGAGTGCAGTATCAGTACAACCAACCCCATGTATTGGTAGGTGCCGAGCCTAACCTCGACAAAGTAGTGACGAGGCTAGGACATGACAATAATATGAACATGTGCAGTTAAATCATATACGAGAAAATAACAACCAACGGAAATTTAGTAGATGATAACGGGAAGGGGAAAATATGCTGAGGGGAATATCAAATCCTGAAAAAATAGTACAGTAAAGAAATACAGTAAATATCATGCTTTGCACCAACGAAAGTAATAACATAGCAAACAAGTGCACGGCATCACCCTTCGTGCTTTTACTCTCTCTCACCATAAGAAACAATAGAACACGGCACGGCATCACACCCTTCGTGCATTAACTCTCTCATAACATGGCACGACATCACCCTTCGTGCTTTAACTCTCATATAGCATGGCACGGCATCACCCTTCGTGCATTATCACTCACAGAATATGGCACGACATCACTCTTCATGCATTATCACTCTCTCACAAAACATCATATGTCATCACCCTTCTTGCTTTACACTCTTCCTCACGCAAACAACAGAACAATATCAACCCGGCAAAGGAATTGTCAATAACCAACCTCGTTTCAATATTTAACTTCACAATATAAATCTCAACTTGAGTCAATACTCAACCAATATCAATTCCAGGAAAACATGATAAGATTTTTTTAACATGAAGAATAACCAGTTAAGCATGAATCGTACGAATAAAGAATACAACGGTCACAAGTATAAGACTTACTCGTATGCTATGACCCAACACCAACGTATACGTATTCGTCACCTCACCTATACGTCGTACTCAACAACCAAACACATAGCAAATAAGGCAACAACATCTAATCCCTCAAGTTAAGGTTAGCCACAACACTTACCTCGATTTTGCGGCCAAAATCAAGCCTCAATCACCGCTTTTCCTCTAGATTCCACCTCTAAACCAATCGTACCCAGTCATAGTTAACTTAATAACATCAATTATTGCTAAAGAAATCAATTCCAATACACAATTATAGATTTCCTAATATTTTTTCCAAAAAGTAAAAAACCGACCCCGGGCCAGCTTGGTCAAAACTCGAAGTTCGGACCAAAACCCGATTACCCATTCATCCTGGAGCCCGGATATACAATTGGTTTTGGAATCCGACCTCAATTTGAGGTCTAAATCCCCTAATTTTGAAATTCCTAAGTTCTACCGCAACAAAAATCCCCAATTCCACCCTGAAAATCCTAGATTCTAGGTTGAAATCTTGTTATAAGAAGTGAAAGATTGAAAAAAAAGAACTAAGAATCAATTACCTATGATTTGGGGAAGAACTAGCCTTTGAAAAATCGTCTCTTGAGGTTTAGGTTTTGAAATTTAGGAAATGAATCAAAACTCCCATCTAAGTCCCTTTTACAGAGCTGCAGATATCGCTTTTGCGACCTGAGCTTTTGCGAAGAACCATCGCAAATACAAAGTTCTCCACATCTGTGCTGCCTTCGCAATTGTGAAGGTATGTTCGCAATCGGGAACAAGAACCTCTGCAACTGCGACTAAATGATGGCATTTGCGATCACCACCCTACCCAGTGTTACTTTGCAAATGCGAAGAAGTCTTCGCAATTGCGAAGAAGTCTTCGCAATTGCGAAGACTACCTAGCCGAGCTTATAATCACAATTGCGATAAAAGCCTCCCAAAAGCGGAACCTGCAGGGTTCGCATGCCCGACCTCGCAATTGCGAGATCAGAGACCTGCAACAGTTTCAGTCATACCAACAAATTTTCCTAAGTTCCAAAATACTCTGTAGCCTATCCAAAACTCACCCGAGCCCTCGGGGCTCCAAACCAAACATGCACACAAGTCTTAAAACATTATATGAACTTGCTCGTGCGATCAAATCACCAAAATAACATCTAAAACTACGGATTTAACACCAAAACATATGAAATCCTTAAGAACACTTGAAATTCCTATTTTCACAACCGGAAAGTCCGAATCACGTCAAATCAGTCCCGTTTCTCACCAAATTTTACAGACATGACTTAAATATTATATTATACCTGTACCGGGCTCCGGAACCAAAAATACAGGTCCGATACCAATATGATCAAACATTATTCAATTTCTTTAAATCCTTAGATTTTCAGTTTAATAATTTTTAACAAAAATTCATTACTCGGGCTAGGGACCTCGAAATTCGATTTCGGGCATACGCCCAAGTCCCATATTTTATTACGGACTCTCCGGGACCGTCAAAATACGGGTCCGGGTCCGTTCACTCAAAATGTTGACCGAAGTCAACTAAAATCACTTTTAAAGGCAAAAATTATTATTTTTCTCAAGTTTTCACATAAAGGCTTTCCGAAAATGCGCCCAGACTGCACACACAAATCAAGAAGAAGTAATATGAGTTTTTGAAAGCCTCGGAATCCCGAATTGGGTTCTAAAACACGAGATGACCTTTCGGGTCATCACAATAAACTGTGATACAAAAAAAATGTCTCATACAACAAGTGTCAATTGTATGAGACACAAAATAAAATTTTCCGTGTAATACTATAGAAGAAATGGAATTTGGACTGAGCTTTCACAAAACTAAACCAATCAAATTAAAATACTGAATTCACTAAAAATATAAGAATAGTGTAAAAAAATTGAGTTGCAAAAAGTAACATATATCATCGCGCAACCAATTGTGTAATTGTTGCAGTGTCAACTTCTCCAATTTCCTGCACTGAGCCATTTGAATTACCAACTTCTTCATCTTCCCTTGTAGAAAATGCAGGCCTTTTGGGAGAATTCATAGCTAAATTCACATCCTTTAACAAATAAGAAACTTCTAACATTGTAGGCCTATCCAATGGATTTTTTTGGGCACACAATAGGGAAATTTGCATGCATTTTAATAGTTTACAAGATGATGTTTTATCATCAAGTGATGGATCCATAAACTCCATGCCGTTACCATCTCTCCACATCTCATATGCCTGGATTATAAAAGAAAAAGTTAAAATAAATTTAATTTAATACAACAACAACATATCCAATATATTTTTACAAGTGGGGTCTGGGAAGGATAGTTTATACACAGACTTTGTCCTTACCTTGTGGAATACAGAGATTGTTCACGATAGACTCTTTGCTCAAGATTTAACATATATACACTGATAGCGTAAAATATTTTTATAGTATCAATATAATTTTATCTGTTCTACACTTCTACTAGATTACCTGTCGCATTTTTTCAAGTTATAAATCATACTTAACTAATATGGATGTGGTTACCTGTTGAACTCTTTTACATGACATGATCGTATAAAATTTTTATATATTGTCAGCATATGAAAGTTAAGCTCTTAATTAAATGTCTTTCTATGTTATACATTGATAGGGTATAATTTTTTTTTTACTTTATTAGTTCATCTAAAATATAGCTATATGTAATTAATACAGGATCAGTAAACTAGAATATAAAACAGATAACTTGCGAAAAATTAGGTAAATTATGCTGATAGTATAAAATTCTTTTATACTATCGGTGTAAATAAGTTAAACCCTAATTAAATACTTGTAAAAACATATATTCTGTGTAGCTATAGAATTTGTCCGTCGCTAATTCATATTTCTTTAGTAGTCGTGGATGATAAAAGAAAAAGTCAAAACAAGTTTAATTAAATGATTTAACATATATACGCTGGTAGTGTAAAGTATTTTTATAGTATCAGTATACTTTTATCTGTTCTAATAGATTACCTATCGTACTTTAAATGTTACAATCCCACTTAATTAATATGGATGATTACTTGTTGTTCTCTTTTAGATGACGTGATCGTATAAAAGTTCACTTATATTATCTGTATAAAAGTTAAGCTCTTAATTATAGGGGTTTATCTGGTATACATTGATAGGGTAAAAGATTTTTTATACTATAAGGTCATCTAAAATATAGCTACAGCCTACATGTGATTATCTTGGGATTAGTAAAGTAGAATATAAAATAGACAACTTGCTATAAACTAGTTAAAATATATTGATAGTGTAAAATTCTTTGACAATATCAGTGTATTAATATAAGATAAACCCTAATTAAATACTTGTAAAAACATATAGGAGTATTGAAGTAATATATAATAACAACTTACGTATTCAAGAAGGTTTAAGTTTTCATCTGGACCATGTAGGCATGTATTCTTCTTTCCACTTATGATTTGAAGAAGAAGAACTCCAAAACTGAAAACATCAGATTTTGTTGAATAGATGCCTTGTTCCACATATTCAGGTGGAATATAACCCCTGCAACTCATTGAAAATGAATGTGGTAATTAAGAATATAATCATAATTAAAAAAAAAAATTAGAATCAGCTACGAACTTCATCGCTTATATGTTGCTAAATCGCTCATAACTAACATAATTTTTTGATAATCTATCACTTATCCATCGCTAAATAGGATTAGCGATAAATTTATCTGTTTAGCTATAAAATTTGTCCGTTGTTAATTCTTGTTTTTTAATAGTGTAAGAATACTTTGCTAAGAGATACATATGAATAAATAAGTCTAACTAATATGCACCTACAAGTTTAAGAAATTTATACAATATCAAATCACCCAAAATATATTTATAGTTACTTTTCATAAAAAAAAAAGGGAAATTGTTTCTTGAAACTAAGTCAGGTTGCTTGTACGAAAAATAAATTAAGTATTAAAAAAATAGGAACTAGCGACAGAAAAACTCAGTAGCTAATTCTATTTAATGATGGATTAACGACAGTTTATTCAAAAAATTATATTAGTAACGAGCAATTTAGCAATAGATTAGCGATGAACTTCATCGCTAATTTTTTATTTTTTTGTAGTATTAAATATAACTTAATATTATAACTTACATTGTTCCAACTACTCGTAGGGTATTTGCTTCAACTTCATCCTTCTTAAATATTCTTGCCATTCCAAAGTCAGAAATCTTTGGTTTCATATCAATATCCAATAAAATATTGCTGGCTTTTAAATCCCTATGAATAATTGTTAATCTTGAGTATTCTTGGAGATATAGGAGCCCTTGAATAATTCCTTCAATTACTTGAACTCGTTTTTCCCAATTTAGAAGTAATCTTCTAACTTGATCTATATGAAAAATCAAGTTGATGGGAAAAAAAAATTAGATTAATGATTTCTTATTGGTAAAGTGAAAAATGAGTGACACTATTAGTTGATGTATACTACTTTCCCCCTCCTTCATTTTATGTGGCATAGTTTGACTTGACGTACGTAAAATTTAAAAAAAAAAGAAGATTTTTAAAATTAATAGTCATAAATATGTCATAATATTTTTGTGAATATATATATATATATATATTAAAATTATATTATTTTGAATATAGGAATGTGTCAACAAACTATAAAAGAAAGAGTGTCATATAAAATAAAAAAAATGACATTATATATATATATATATNGTGTCATATAAAATAAAATAAAATGACATTGTATAGCCGTTGTAAAAATAACAGCCGAAAAAATATATAAAATTTATATATTTTTTGTATATATATATACATTATGTATGTTATATACAAAAATTATATATATTTTCAGCTATCGGATGTAAATAGTTTCTGGCGCGGGCTAAAAATGATAATATAGGGGGTAGAACTTAAATCCGCTAACAACTTAACAATTATTTAATATTAGTGCAATTTAACCTTCAGCTGCAATTATCTTCTAAATGATCAATCATGACATAATAGTATTCACACACACAATATATATATATATATATATATATATAAGGAATTAATTACTTACTATAAATGTAATAGTCCAAGCTCTTGTTCGGCATATATTCGTAGATCAACATCTTCTCTTTTTTTTCAATGCAAAAACCCACAACTTTTACAAGATTTATGTGTTGTAATTTTGCTGTAAGGATCACTTCATTTTCAAACTCTTCCAATCCTTGAGTAGAAGTTTCTGAGAGCCTTTTCACAGCTATTTCTTGCCCATTTCTCAACTTTCCCTAATTGGATTAATAAAATATCCTTCACATTTTTAATAAATATTGATAAATGTATTCATGAAGACAATTTGGAAATCATCTACTATAGAAAAAGAAAAAAAAAAACAAGTAAAAGTTTATTTGCTCACTAGAAAGTCACAATTGTGTGTGAAGGATAATTAATAAAAGTCACAACATGTTGAGGCGGACCTAAGATTTGAACATGATAGGAACCACTGTCGAATAAAAATTTGAACAAATGCTAGAGTCAGAATCGAATCTAGGAAGCACACTAAAAGTCAAGGTGTGCCCCCAAATCGACCAATGCAGCTGCCTAAGATTTGAATCTTAGGGTACCATTCAAAATATATACCTATTATTTAAGATATATACACATCTATAAATATATTTTTTCTGAAATTACTGAGACTGATGACCCCCTACCCACATGGTAGGTCCGCCGTGTATATATATATACTGGCACGCCTTACAAACACCAGTGACATAGCACGGCCAAGCCGTGCATACCCCCAATGCCCAAGCCGCATGCCAGCGTCCCCATGCATGCCCGGCTCAGCTTGGCAACAAGCACCTTGAGGTGCCTTCAACATAAAATTGCACAAACTAAAGTTCAACTTAGCTAATACATTTCACAACTTAGCTAAGCTCCAGCTATGCGCGGGGGCCGGAGAAGGGTCGGATCATAAGAGTCTATTGTATGCAGCCTTACCCTACATTTCTGCAAGAGGCTATTTCTACGGTTCGATCCGTGACCTCCAGGTCATATGACAACAACTTTACCAATTACGGCAAGACTCCCTTAAAAAAATAAAAAATACTACTACTAACCTGTACGAGAGAGTACCCAATTTTGATCCCCTGCACCGTGCCATGCATAGTAACCAAGCAATCCTCTACCTTTAACATAATTAACCTTATCTCTAACACTTTGTGTATCATCATAGCTAATCCAATTATTTCCAGAGTAACAATAATCTCCAACGATGGTATCATTATACACGGTCGTGCCGCGACTCTGCACTATATAATCCTTAATTTGGTTATAAGTCATCGACCCATCGTTGACCGCACCAACATTTGATTTTCCGGCAGCAGGCGCACTGAGACCGTAAATATTCGCGTTAACTAATCGCCACGCATAGCCATAAAATGGAATTCCAAGTACCAATTTTCGTATTGGAACACCAGCTTGAATCCATGCATTAATTCCATCACTTCCACTAACATGGTTCACAGGATCAAATAATTGTGCATGTGAATTGGTTTGTGATGGTGACCAATTTGGTCCATAGAAATCATAGGCCATAAGGTTAATCCAGTCTAAGTTTCTTGCCACTGATTCAACCGGGTAGTTGAATCCATGGCCTCGGGGTGAGTAGGAAACCGCCGCTGTAAGAAGCAGTGCCGCCCTGCCGGAATTTCTCGCCTCCGTGTCGATAGCGGTGCGCCACTGTTTTAAAAGAGTACCTGTTTGATTGAGACATAATTAACTAAATAAAAGTAAGTGTACTCTTGACCATATATATATATATATATATATATAAGCGGGTTTAACGGAATTGCTATCAATTTTTTAAGAGACGATGGGGCCTGCTTGACCAACCGCCATCATATTATGTCCATAGTACGATCAATTTTTTTGAAATTGTTAATATAATCGAATGATCTATCCGACGGATCTTTCCCTCTTTCAGATTATATATAATTGTGAGCGTGAGAAAAATTACTATTATTTTCGAAACTATTACATATTTTAGACCCATAATTGCAAAAAGTTACATTTAATGTGTCTAGTAGCAAGAACCTAAAATTGATCTCATCAAATTCATAATCAGTACCAATTATAATTTCAAAATACTTGGCCATGAAAAAAATCAAGAATATATAGCAGTGAGAGACATGTTAATTAAGCAAATAAAAATATATTATGTATATAACAATTTATAATATGAAATGTGATTGTTATATAATTCAATACGGTATCATAGCAGACAGATGAAGGTTTAATTATCGCTATTTTTCAAAAAAAGAAATTCATGTAAGACCAGAGGTGTAGACACGTTATCTCATGCGACGTTCGTCAAAACTTTTCACAAAAATATTGAGAAAATATTCAAAATATATTGAGAAAATATTCAAAATATATTGAGAAAATATATGTTTGTCAATTGTACCTAAGTTTGTCATGTCTGTAGCTGATAATGGAGATACCCAATTAAGATCAAGGCCATGAAATCCTAATTGTCTAGCCAATCTTATTGATGAATCAATAAAACTTTTTCTTGAATTTGGTTGTCTAGCCATAATTCCATAGGCAGTTGAATTGGCTCTTCCTCCTGCTATAGACAACAAAGTCTTGACTGAGGGATTTTTCCTTTGAACTGTACTTGTAAACTGGCTGAATGAATCTTGATTTTCCGGCGAAATCATTAACTGATTTGATTGAGGATTAAGATCAGCAAATGCACAAAATAGATGAGTGAAAAGTGTTGAATCTATGTTGCTTAATTCTAATCCACTGTCCTTAAACCAGTACCCTCCCTTAATAACATTTTGGCTATTTGTGCAAACTAGTTGCTGAAGGAGGAAAAATGAGAAAATAATGGAGAAAAGAGTTACAGAATTAGCCATTAAATTGAAGGTTGATGGCTTGTTTACTTTGTGACCCCGAGATTATATAAGTTCGAAAATTTGAGTCAAGATTTCTGTCTACCGGCGGCTTTTAATTTTCCATGGAAAATGTTTTCGCGGAAAATGTTTTCCCGGAAAATGACTAGTTTTACTATTTTTTTTATTTGGTTGGTGAGTGAAAAAAAAAAATTCGAAAAATATTTTCTAGTATATGATTAGAGAGTATAAAATATTTTAGGAAAATAATTTTTTATGCGGCTCTCCTCAACTCACCTTCCCTAAAATCTTCATGTTTCATGTATTCCTACCCCTCCTCCGGACTCTATTTTTTTCAAGAATTAAATTATTCTTTTCAAAATTCACACAACCCAAAGGAACTAATGTGTTATTTTACTTTTTCACACAAAAATAACGCTAAAATTTGAGCTCCATAATTAAAAAGAAAATAATTTATTTTGTTGCAAAAGAAAGTATCTTTTTACAATATGAAAAGAAATTACTCATTTTGTTGAATGAAAGAAAATAATTTTTCTACATCATGAAAGAGAATAATAAGTTAGTTGAACAGAGAAAATATTTTTCTACATAATTTTGCTAAAATGAAAAAAATAATTTTTTCTACATCAAGAAAGAAAATATTTAGTTTGTTGAAATGAAAAAAAAAATACTTTTTCTATATCATAAAAAGAAAGTACTTTTTCTGTTGAAATGAAAGAAAATATTTTTCTACATCATGAAAAGAAAAGTACTTGATTTGTTGGAAAAAATACTTTTTCTATTTTAGGAAAAGAAAAATATAAGTAGCATGAATACATCGAATACAGTGGCACATCGGGACTTCCCTATTTTAGGCGGATTTTGAATACAGTAGCGCGAATACAATCGTGTAATAACTAAATAATACTCCCTCCGGTCCACAATAAGAGACCAATTTACTTTTTTATTTGGGTACAAACTAAGTGTCCATTTATATAATCAAGAATGAATTCAATTTGTTTTTACAAAATTACCCTTGTGTATATATTCCTAAAAAGTTTTCTTACATCTTGCATTAAATATTTAATTAAGGGTAGTTTAATAATACTAAGTATTTTTATATAGAATTTAATATTTTTTTAATAGGCGTATCAAAAGTAAATTGATCACTTCTTAATAGCTAAAAAAAGTAATTATGTAGCTATAGAAGGTTAATATCATATTGGAGGCAGTAGCATTTATTTGTCAACTAGTCATGACGCAAAGTAAACCAACCGGGCCTGAAACGGAAGAAATCAAGGCTCAAGTCCAGCCAGCTGGTTCTCTTAGTAGTAAACTAGTAATTGCTGGTTGACTTTCGGGGTCATCGGACAAGACTTGAACTCTGTCTAAAATTAACCAACTGTAGTTTTTTTTAAGCACACTATCAACTATGTCAATTTATAAGTAGTTTATTATAAAAATTGATAAAATATTACTAATATTAGCTAAATATTACCAAAATTAGTCAACAGCTATTTGTACAAAAAAAAGTCAATTTTTTGCTTTCTTTTTAGTGAGTGTGTTATAAGAATAGATTGGGTACATCTCAAGGAACTTAAATCTCAGTTTTGGGATGATTTGGTGGAGTTTTGAGGTTGTTTGAATTGAAAATTCAAAGTACAAGATGAACATGAAAAAATAATACAACAACAACAACAATCCAGTAAAATCCCACAAGTGGACTCTGGGGAGGGTAGTATGTACGTAGACCTTACCCTTACCCCAAAGGGGTAGAGACGTTGTTTCCGAAAGACCCTCGACTCAAGATAATAAAAAGACAAAAGGAAAGAATATTAGATTCACCACGGAGATCATAGGAAAAATAGGAACATAAAATGCAGAAAAAAAAAGAAGCAAAACGATGGCTAGTAAATGGATCCTACGTCGAAAATAGAAAATAGTAAGACACAACATTGCCCCTAGCTATCTTAGACAAAACCCTATCGGACTAGGCTCATAAAGGTACAAAGTAACGCAAGACTCTACTACCTCCTAGCCTACAACCGTAATACTCGACCTCCAAACTTCCTATCAAGTGTCATGTCCTCGAAAATCTGAAGTCTCGCCATATCCTGCCCGATCACCTCTCCCCAATACTTCTTAGGCTGCCCTCTACCTCTTCTCGTACCTTCCACAACCAGCCGCTCACACCTCCTTACTGGAGTCTCTGGGCTTCTCCCCTGTACATGCCCGAGCCATCTTAGCCTCGCTTACCGTATCTTGTTATTAATGGGAGCCACGTACACCTTCTCCCAAATATTATCTTTCCTAATCTTATCCATCCTAGTTTGCCCGCACATCCACCTCAACATCCTTATTTCTGCTACTTTCATCTTTTGGATATGTGAGTTCTAAACATGCCCACCCTCAGCCCCATACATCATGGTCTGTCTAACCACCGCTTTATAGAACTTACCTTTAAGATAAAACTCCAAATGCTAACCTCTACTTCATCCATCCTACCCCAATATGGTATGTGACATCCTCGTCGATCTCCCCTCCCCCGTGGATAACCGAACCAAGGTACTTGAAGCTGCCTCTACTTGGGATAACCTGTGACTCAAGCCTCACATCCACGTCCACTTCCCCCAGCTCAGCGCTGAACTTACACTCGAGGTATTTCGTCTTCGTTCTGCTTAGCTTGAAATCCTTAGACTCAAGAGTCTGTCTCCAAACTTCCAATCTCTCGTTAACACCGGCTCGTGACTTATCAATCAGAACTATGTTATCGACGAATAGCATGAACCATGGTCCTTCCCATTGAATATGGTTTTTTATCGCATCCATCACCAGGGCGAAGACTGAGCGCAGAGCCTTGTTGTAACCTCATTTCAACCAGAAAGAACATGAAAAATTTAATAATATGTAGAAAAAGTACAGGGGTTTAAGCTGTATACTGTATAACTTTTGTGTTAAGGTACATAAATTGATGCTTCTCATGAAAATTTACTTGTTATTACTTTTGTAATTGACCTGATATGTAAAAACATTTATACTATAAGGACTCGTTTGGTACGAAGGAGAAGGAATAATTAATCCCGGGATTATTTCATGTAGTAAATCCTGCTAAACACGAGCTCTTGTGCTAAAATGCCCATGAACTAAAGCTAACAAACTGATGCAAGACACACGCATATATAATCAAAGAGAGACGGACCTGAGATATTATTTTTAACTAAATAATAACTATAAAAGGTAATTATGTATATGGTAGCTATAAAAAGTTAATAGCCACTAAAGAATAATGGTTTCTAAAAATTCCTTTTTATTAAAGCGGATAGCAAACCCAGTTGATTCCGGTAAATATCAAACTTAGTTAAAACGAGTAGATAAATTTATATTATAGTATATATTGGAAAAAATCTCTAATTTAAAAAGGTCAAATTTCGTTAAAGAGGCAAAATCATATAGTTTACCTCAAAATCCTATATCTTCGTGCATCCAATATTTAAGTAATTATGTAATACTCCAAATTTTAAAAATTATTGTAATTATAATTTTATCCAATATGAGATGTATTTTCATTTTCAATTGTTAAAAAGCCGAACAACTTTTCACGTTGTAGTTTCTTTCTTTTATAATAGTTAGTATACAAATAGATATATTGGTATATACTTGTCAAGATACTTATAGAGACAAATGTAAAAAGAAAAATATCACAGCAGTTTCGAAATAATTTACGTGTTTTTTTTTTCTAAAATTTTTGGACAAGACAAGATCATTGACCTGAAGAGTAAGTCGTCAAATGTTCGCAAAGAAAACAACTACACACACACACACAAAAAAAAAAAAAAAAAAAAAAAAAAAAAAAAAAAAAAAGTGAAGAAAAGAAAAGGAAGGAGGAGAGTAATAAGTCAAACAAATTGTTCAATTATCTCAATTTTTCTTGTAAAATTTTGCCCAGTTTTCCAAGTCGTTTGTTGTTTTTCAAGGTCATGAACTCGTGAGAAATTTACTAGAATAGCTTCAAAATTTAGTCAAATTGACTCTCAATAAGCAAAATATGTCATCTAAACTGAAACAGATGGAGCAATATTTTGTGACAAAACATAAATATATATTTGAAAATCGAATCCACCAAAATTTCAATAACATTTGATTTAAACCCATAATTTTTAAAGTACGTAGGTTTTACTGCTGTATTGGCGGAAAAAGACATGACACGTGGAACATCAGTAAGCTAACGATGCATAACGCGTGGAGAGTCGATATAGCGACAAGTGGCACTTTCAATTAATTGAATTAAGAATGCAAGAAAGGTACGGGAAAAATACCCACGGGGTAGCATAGAGAAAAGAACGGGGTCTGGCAATTGTCAAAAGAGAAACGGGAACAAAATAAATTAAGGCTACAAAGAAGAGAAGATACATGAACCAGAAATAAATAAGAAAGGGGAATCAGAGCAGTTATAAGGAATCTTTAGTCATAAATATGCCAATTACAATTATATATGGTAAAGAGCAGTCAATACAATTAATGCCCTTAATAAGTCAAAATTAAGTGTGAGACCCGTTATGATTATATGCTCCTATATAAGGATAAGAATTTCATTTGTAAAGACAAGTTACGATTATTGGTAAAATACATACTATTATTCTTTGCTTACTCTACAAGTTTTAAGTTTTGGTTTCGAGTAGTGACTGTCAATTCATTCTTTAATTTTTCTTTGTTAATCATTTCCTTACTTGGATTTATTCTTCCTAAAATTGTTAGGAAAATGAAGTAAATCTTGGTTACCAGTAACCCATTTTCTTCTAAATATTAATTTTGACCGAGAAATCTATTTTTGGTTAAACAAATTGGTTCTCTTACTAGGAATCTGATAATTTTTTCACTTTCCAAATTTTACTTTTTTGACAACCAACTATACCAACTGTTAACGATAATAACCAGCTAAACCAACAAGGTGAAACTCCACTACACCACTCACCAACGGGGTCCCCTCGGCAATGTCGTAGAGGTTCACTTGAAAGGTCTACTTC